GCCACCGGGTAAACGACCCGCACAGCCCCGGGCRGCGGCTCCCGCTCGGCCCCGATGCGCGCCGCGATCCCGGCGGTACCGAGCAGCGCCAGCAGCAGCAGCGCCACCGCCACCACCGCTGTCCCCTGTCCCCGCGGCCACCCCGGCGCGGCTTCTTTAGTCCTGGCGGTGACACAAGCCACCCTGGCCGGCGGGGCTACCAAAAGCACCGTCAGGCACGCCCGGTACTCGGTGCCGGCGCTCAGCCGGGTGATGTTGAAGCTGTGCGTTCCCGCCGGGATCCGCGCTGAGCTCGCCGCTGTTCCCGGCTCCGAGACGCTCCACGTGAGGTTGGAGGAGAGGGCGTTGAGGCGCGGCCGCCAGGTCAGCAGCACGTGGTGGGGCTGGACATCGAGCAGCAGGAGCTGCAGGCGCTCCGGACCCAGCGGGAAGGAGCGGTTGACCAACAGACGGACGCTGCGGGTGTCGGCGCCCAGCAGGTTGTGAGCCACGCACGTGTAGAGCCCGGCTTCGTGCGCGGCGACTCCGCGGATCTCCAGCGTCCCTTCGGGGTGCACCCTGAACCGCTCGTCACCCCCGCCGGGCAGCAGCTTCTCCCCGGCCGGCGTCACCCAGTAAATGTCCGGCTCGGGCTCGGCCAGCGCCCGGCAGTGCAGCGCAACGCTGGCGCCCGGCTCGGCGTCCAGGAGGCGCGGGAAGCTGCGGGCGGAGATGAGCGGCAGGCACTGCTCCGTCATGTCGCCGAACGGCACATCGCGGACTCGGCGGCGCTGCAGCTCGGGCGGTTCGGCGCACAGCGTGGATTGCGGCTCGATGAAGCGCACGGAGCGGCCGCGGCCCCCGCCCAGCCAGCGGATCACGCAGTCGCAGCGCAGCGGGTTACCGTGGATGCCGATCTCCCGCAGCCCCGGCAGCGACTCCACCGTGCGCCGGTGCAAGGCACTCAGGGCGTTGTTGTTGAGCATCAGCGTCTCCAGGCGCGGCAGCTGCCGGAAAGCCTCCGGGTGGATGAAGGACAGCTTGGGGTTGTTGGTGACGTCCAGCTTGGTCAGCTCGGGCAGGTTGCTGAGGGCCAAGCGGTCGATGGACACCAGCTCGTCCATGTTGTTGAGGCCCAGCTCCTTGAGGTGCAGCATGTCGGCGAAATCGCTCTGCCGCACCCTCTGCAGCGGGTTCTTGTTCAGGTCCAGGAATTTGAGGCCGGGCACCCTCTGCAGGGCCCGGCGGGGCACGGCCGCCAGCTCGTTGTCGTAGAACGAGAGGCTCTCCAGGCTGCGCAGCCCCTCCAGCGCCGCGTCCGCGATCTCCCGCAGGTGCATCCCGGCCAGCACCAGGCTCCGCAGGTTGCCCAGCGGCCGGAAATTCATATCCGGGATGGCGTCCACCCTGTTGCCGCCCAGCATGAGGATCTCCAGGCTGGGCAGCGTCAGGAACCAGCGGCTGTCCAGCGCCCGCAGCAGGTTGGAGTTGAGGTGCAGCCGCAGGAGGTTGCCCAGGCCGGCGAAGGCGCGGGGGGCGATGCTGCGCAGSCGGTTGTGGTTCAGGTAGAGCTCCTGCAGGTTGCCCAGCCCCGGGAAGCTGCCGTCGGGCAGCTCGGCCAGCTGGTTCTCCTCCAAGTGCAGGCTGAGCAGCTGCGGCATGGCCCCGAGCCCGAAATCCCTCGCTCTGGAGAAGCTGTTCTGCGACAGGTCCAGCTCCGACAGGTTGCGCAGGTAGCCCAGCTCGCCCCGCTGCAGCCGCGCGATGTTGTTGCTCTGCAGCAGCAGCGTCTGCGTGCCCTCGGGCAGCTCCCGCGGCACCGCGGTGATGAACAGATCGTTGCAATCCACCGTGGCCGCTTCCCGGTAAGCGGAGCGGGGCGTGTACCACGGGCGGATCTGGCAGACGCAGCGCGGGGGACACGCCACCCTCCAGGGCACGGTGGGCACGGCGCTGGCGGCCACCGCGCACAGCAGCAGGCAGCTGGGCTGGAGGCCCCGCATTTTGGCCACGGCAGCGGTCACTGCGAGCGGCCGGAGCCGGCCGCGGACGGACAGCGGCGTGGGGACGGCGCYCGGGGCGGGGGATGCTCCATGCGAGCCCCGGGAAGGGTCAGCCCCTGCCTGGGGTCCCCCCGAAATTGGGGTTCATAACCGCGGGGGGCTCCGAGGTCAGAGCCGAGCGTGTCCTGAGGCACCGATGGAGCCGCGCTCGGCCGCGCTCCTCAGCCAGGTCATTCCTGGGGAAAAAAACAGCGGAGTTGGGTCAGGAGAGTGGTTGGGTTCGGGGGGATGAGGGGCGGGGACAGGGAATGGGTGGGAGAGGGGGAAACCCCAAAACTATCCCAAAATACCCATTTATTCCGTTTTATATCCATGGAATTCACTGTGCCCTCCCATCCAACTGGATCTGTGTGGAATCCTCCCATGGAATCTGCCCGGGACCCCAAAAACAGCCCAAAAAGTTAATTTATTCCATTTTATATCCATGGCATTCACTGTGCATCACACCTGTGATTCCACAATTCCCTCCGGCTCCAATCCAACATTTTCCCCCTTAAAATCCTCTCACCCAGCAGGAAAAAAACAAACAAACAAACAAAAAAAAACCCCAAAAAACTCCAAAAACCCAAAACAAACAAAAATTAAAAAAAAAATGGAAACTAAAAAAATTAAAAAGAATGGAGAAAAGAAAATAAAAATTTCTATTTTCTCTCGCGGGAAAGATTGATCCTGCTCTCTCCTCCGTCTTTTCCTGCTGCGAGGCTTTTAGGGGAAAGGAAAGGAAAGGAAAGGAAAGGAAAGGAAAGGAAAGGAAAGGAAAGGAAAGGAAAGGAAAGGAAAGGAAAGGAAAGGAAAGGAAAG